CACCCAGAATTTAGATCTACCCACTATTTGTTTTTTCAATGAGCCAATCAGAGCTTGGCGTCGTTCTGTCGTACGTCACAACTCCTGAGCAAGAAGCAGACGACTTGCTCTCCACATAGTCGCGCTCCAAACTTAATAAACGCAAGGTGATGCATGCCTCGAGAATCTTATCGTCGCGCGGCAGCCAATGAGGTAGCCGAATTAGATGATAAGAACGCGGATAAACGTCCACATAATAATACACTCCCGGCGTTTTTTAAGCTGTTGATCAATGTAGCTAATCTCTATTAATGAGCCTATTTTCGGTTAAGCCAGTGGAACTAATAAATCTTGCAAAAATAATACGAAAACAGTTACTCAATTTTTTGTTTATTTATTTATTTATTTATTTATTTATTTTTTGAGGAAGTTCAAAACCATTTGAACGGCATACGCTATACGTTACTGCATTTTTAGGATAAGGCGGTCAGTTATACTTGACTGAGAGAAATGAAAGCAAGCCGTTTTTTTAGCGCTGTTCCTGGCACAAATTTAAGAGCTGTACGGAAATGCAACTCAGCCGGAGTCACACTGCTCGTATACATCGGACAAACGACAGTCTGCAAACAGGAGTCACCGGAATAGCCGCGGTTTGAATGCCGCGCGCCCGAGTTTCCTTCTTGAACTCATTGCCACGCGGCTTTCGAAGCACGAATCTCGAGGTGACTCGCGTTCGAATCTGCACGCAGACGGTCCTTTGTATGACGTATACAAGTGGTGCGCATCACCCCCGGCAAAAATGTTCACCATCGTTATTTTCTAGATACGAAACGGACCTTGGATATGAAACGTGGCATCTTCGGAAAGTGCGCAGCGGCTGTAGCCCTACTTATTTCCCTGGCGTCGGTCTATCTCGTGGTGCACGAGGGTCTGAACGTGAGCATTAACTGGTCCAAACCTGCGGTGACTTCACAGGTTGCCTTCGAAACACAGCCACAACTTGAATCAGGGTGAGCTTTGTTTTTTTATTTCGAAATTTTCCCCCCTGATATATACCCCTTTTCAAAAGTTAATCGAGCAACATTGGTGGTTGCAATTTCTTTCGTCTTATTGGACTTAGAAAGGCGGGAGGAATCATATTTTGAGTCTTTTTAGACTTACCCCCGAATTCATAGATGTGACTTGCTCTGAAGTCGAGCTTCAACTTGTTCAAGTTAGTCTTCCGAACGAGCAAGCGCGCTTCATAAATGCACCTTAACTTGAACCGATCTTGAACCGATCTTGAACCGAACTTGAAGTGCCCAAATTTCAAGACTGGGTTGGACCTATCTTGAACGCGACTTCGTAGTCGTTCCAACATGGCGGCTTGGCGAAGTGACGCCGCAGAGCGGATCTCCGCCTTCGAATTCGCAACTCGCGCGTGCGATGTCGTCTTCGGGGACGCGTTCCCTTTGCCACGAGTCCCGCGACCATCGATTCGGGACCGGGAAAACCCAATGGAGCGCTACAACGACGGGCAGTTCCTGGCGCGGTACCGCTTTACGAAGGGCACCGTGCGAGAGCTGCTCGGGATGCTGCCGCTACAAACGAGCACCGACTGCAGGGGGCTTCCGCTGACCCCCATGCTGCAACTGCTGGTCACGCTGCGGTTTTATGGTGCCGGGACCTTCCAGGTTGTGACTGGGGACCTCGTGAACGTGTCCAAACCAACAGTGTGCCGCGCGGTCGGAGTAGTTACGCAGCTGATCGCGAGGCACCTGTTCCGGGACCTCGTTCACTTCCCCAGTGCCGCCGAATTCAACACGGTGATGATGGATTTCTTCGCACTTGCGAAATTCCCCGCCGTCACCGGGTGCATCGACTGCACCCACGTGCGAATCAAGAGCCCCGGCGGCGACGACGCGGAAGTGTTCCGCAACCGCAAGGGAGTTTTCTCCATCAACGTCCAGGTAACGATCGTGCAAAGTTCTCCGCGGTTTACCGAATTGAGTTTAAAAGCTTTTAACATCAGGTTAGAGCAACGCTTGCGCGATCGCGAGATGTCATTCACTGAAGTATGCACTCATGTTCGACTGCATGAAATTTGGATACTCTGCCCCAAGCATTACACATGTATAACTTGGAACTTTCTTGGTCGAAGCCCTCTCGTCTTTGCCTCGCTATATGCAGTGGTTGAACTGCTGCGCCCATTGCGCCAAACTGAGCCAGAACGAATAACCCGCTACATGCTGCTCTAAAGCGTCTGGCACATGGCATGGTTGGCGATGCCACTGAAAATTAAGAAAGTACAGTTTTCTTTTTTTCTTGATGCCTTAGCACTATGTGCGAAGAGTAGGGCTGCACGAATATCCTTTTCTAATAGTAGTTTCAAATAATACGTTGATATTCGCAACCAAATGAACTGCCATATTCATACTTTTCGAAGTGTTGATTGCAACGGGTTAGCCCCCTTGAGTGCGATTCTCAAGCACGGATGCACTGCGGAGAAGCAATAACCGCGGAGCGGACACAGCAATCTTGTGACTCGCTTCGCCGCAGCTCAGCCGCGCGCTTAGAAGAAAGCACACCTTCAAACTAGCATAGTGCTCGAGCACGCCTAATGTGCTAAAAAAGGAAAGAAAAAAGTTAGGAAGGTTTTTTATTGTTGATATTACATTGCAGTAAAATCTTCAAAATTTAACTGTGGCTATAGGGTGCAACTCAAGAAGGTAGGGCGAGGGTAAGACGGGCCAGGGAGGAGGAAGCAGATAGAAGGCTAAAGAGAGGAGGTTTCCCCCTCTCTTCTCCAGCGTTCCGTCTGCTTCCTGCTCCCAGGCCCGTCTTACCCCCGTCCTACCTTTTTGTCTGGCAATGGACTATAGGCAGCAATTTTCTAAACACCTGTGTTCAGTATTTGTGCTAATTATGTGTATATAGTTTGAGACACAGGAGTGACAGCTGTAAATTGTTACAAGTGTGTACCTCTCACTTTGCTAATAGAAAAAATTTCTCTCTGGCCATGTTTCTTCTCCAATTCAAAATTACATTCAGCTTGCAATGTTCATATTGACATTGTCAGAACACATCACCTGAGCAGTTTTTGTAATGAAAATATTTGTCAAGTATTACGACAGCTTCATTCGATGGGACCATTGCCACTAATTTTTCTTATTCATGTCTTCATGTTTCATTTCAATGCAATCTACTTGCAGGCTGTCACCGGCCCCCAGCTGCAATTTTATGACGTGGTTGTGAGCTGGCCTGGGTCGGTGCACGACAGCCGGATTTTCGATAACTCCCGTGTCCGGGTGCTGTACGAGGAACGCCGGGTGCCAGGGGTGCTGCTTGGGGACATGGGCTACGCCTGCTTCTTCTTCCTGATGACCCCCCTGGCAGATCCCGGTCCAGCCAACACGCCACGAGGCAGGCAAGTAAATCCTACAAGTGCCTGAGCAAATGTAGGGCTATGTGTGGAGACAAGGAAAACATTATATACAAATCTGGAACAGTAGTAACACTACAGAACTTGTGAGCTAGTTGCGATGGTTAAATAATGTACGAACAAAATAAGTTAGATACTGGGTGTGGCAACATTAGCCCCGCAAATATCTACCCTTATTAAAGATTATAGTCACTGACACGGTGAGAACTGCAGGAAGTCTTTCTGCCCTGCCTCCAGAGCAGGCTCAATACCTTCTGGCATGCTTTGGCTGCACATGCAGGCACGAGGTACGCGAGATTCCAAAGTGTTACCGAATGTATGATGCTGATGCTAGAGGCGAGACAAGTGAAGCTTCTCCTGTTTGTCGTTGTCTGCAGCTAGTGCTGAAGCATTTTGAAATCAAGCTATTCGGGAGAAAGATATGAAGGGGATCTACAGGCAACATTATATTTTAATTAGCCAATCATGATATTCCCTCACACGATCAGGTACCAGAAGGCCCATATCAAGACGAGGAATTCTGTGGAAAGGGCCTTTGGCATCTGGAAGCGGCGCTTCCCCTGTCTTGATATGAGGCTGCAACACAAGCCACGTCGGGCCGTACAGATCATCACAGCCTGCGCTGCACTACACAACCTGGCCTGCCTGAGGAAGGACCCACAGCCTCCACCTCCCCCAGCTCCACCAGTTGTGCCTAGGGCACGCAGACCCAGGAGGAGGGCCACGCGGCCAGTCCACCTGCCACCCGTGGACATCGTGGAGGACTCCCTCACAGGCATACAGACACGGGAGCGAATAATTGAACGAAGCTTCAAGTAGAAGCTTCTTTCGAAGAAGCTCCCTTCAGCAATGACTGATCGAGCTTTGCCTTAAAGGGGCGGTGGAACAATATGCAGTTAGAATGTTTTTCGCTTTACACAAGCTTACTGGCACTAGAGGAACCCAAGTATACTTGAATGCAATGCCGCTGACCGAGAAACATTTTTCGTTGCAGTGTAATTTCACAGGTAAAGGCAAGCGTTTTCTTTCAATCACTCTTTCACAAAACTCCACAAAAGCTCAGGGGTCGCATTGTCGGTGTAGTCCCACCTCCCAGTGACAATATTTGAATGCGGCTCGCAGATTGGACCCTGTAGTATTGTGTGAGCACTCGATTTGGGCATGTGTTGACAATCATTCAGGTAGTGGCTCGTGTCCAAGTGCTACAACGACGACAATAGCCAAACCAACAATGTTAGCAATTCGGTGCGTGTCCTGTGCTATGGTGAACGTTGGTGGCATATAATCGTCTCCAGATCACTTGGCCACTTTTTCTGGCTGCAAGTTAAAGGGGGAAATGCTGCCATTTATTTCATTTTTGTCTTCGGCATTTTTTATTGCACGGGTTTAAAAACACAAGCATGTTTCATAGCTCATAAACTTTGGGGATTTGTTTTAACCGGTATCTGCATCAAGCACGAAAATCATTCCATTGCCCCTTTAAAGCTTTTTTCGTGAAAGTGGCTTTTTTTCATTGTACTGGAGTAAATAGCACGGCGTCCACTGAAACTGTCCTATAAGCATCGTCTGCAGGTATGTTTATATGTAAATGAGTATTTTTTAGTGTATTTCGTAAATGCCTTTAATGTTTTCTTTATTCCTGTTTCTTCACCAATAAAAATGTGAAAATATTGCCAGACCCTTTGCTGTAGTGACTGTGCAGTGGCTTTTTACTAGTTCAAATGATAATAATAGATGACAGGCAGGAGCCATTATGTAATCGTGCATTTTCTCAAAGCATACCTAACGTGAAACAAGCTGAAATCGCACCCTATCCCTTTCTGGATATAGCCCCAGCTTTCAACTTCTGTGAAATAAATTAGATCCCTTCAAAAGTCGAGGCGTTGGCACTGCTCTTTATTTTCCGCCTCCCTGTTGAAGCTCCCTCAACTTCCATTCAGCAATCTTTAAGTTTGTCTGCTCCACCTGGAGCCGCACGTGGTGCTCCACCACCTTCATTTGCTGCTCCTCCTCAAGGAGCCTCATACGGAGGGCAGACTCTGCCCTCAGCAGAGAACAACGTACATCATTCTCTGCTGAAAGAGCCTGCTCCAGCAGCACCATCCTCCCTCTGGCCGGCCTGGCCTCGTCGTGACTAGCCGCCACCCTGTCGCTGCTGCAGCTTGAAGCAGCTGCAGGAGCAGGTACAGCCTGCTCGGTGGGGGGATCCGGGGCTGCTGCGGCACTGGTACTCGCCTCTGGCTCTCCGATGTCCACAGAGGGGCTACCAGGCTCATAGTGATCTCCTGTCGCAAGATGTGTAAACCCATATCTGGATTACAAGTCGTTAGCACAAGGTACAATGTTTATAAATTGCACGGCATGAGATGGAGCTGTATTCCCATTAAACTGCGACAACTCGAACTGCAGGTCACGTTGCCCCTGGTTGTACTGTTACGACTGCTGCACTCGGGTGACGTCTAGATTTTCTCGGGCCTCTCGAAGGTTGTCAGAGGAGCTAGCTGTAATTGTGTTTCTCATTGCCGGAGACTAATCTTTTTTGCTTTGCAGAGTTCGAAAATGAAATCCCCTCTGAGATAGCGGCCCCAGAATTCCAAAAATGCGGCAAAAGGAAAACCGAGCACAGTGATCGCCATGCACAGTTCAATGATGATAGGCTCAAACTGTATCCAAATTAAACTGCGACAACTCGAACTGTAGGTCACGTTGCCCCTGGTTGTACTGTTACGACTGCTGCACTCGGGCGACGTCTAGATTTTCTCGGGCCTCTCGAACGTTGTCAGAGAAGCCAGCTGTAATAGCGTTTTGCATTCCCGGAGACTATCTTTTTTGCTTTGCAGAGTACGAAACCGAAATCCCCTTTCAGATAGCGGCCCCAGAATCCAAAATTGCGGCAAAAGGAAAACCGAGCAAAGTGATCGTCGTGCACGGTTCAATGATGATAGGCTCGGGCTGGATCCAACATTGCGATGGAATCTGTGCCGCGGCCTCACTGCTCTCCGAGACTGTAACGGCTTTCAGCCAGTGGCTGCCTGGTTTCAGCATCGGCGGCCGTGGTAGTTTCCCTGGTTGTTCTGGTTCCAGCCCTTTGCCGCCGTCTTGTGCTACCTCTTGTTTGTAGTGTCCAGAAGTCTTGGACACTGGTTTCGTTGGTGGCCGGGCTGCTCGAACTCGTAGCAGCAGTCCGACAACAGTTGCCTGCTTAGGTCACCCGCACCGAGGCGCCCGCCTCCAGTGATCGGGTAAAGAACCACTATGGGAGGGCCTCTACCAGGCTTGCGATTAGCTGTTGTGGGGAGGGGTTGTTCCGTTGTGGCGGGGGTCAATGCTGCATGGCTGCGGGATTTCGACCGCAGCGTGCCAGTTTTCCCCAGCACTTGCAAGAGCACACTGATAAAGATGGTCCGCTTGGATAGTGATCTCCGTTGGGCCCTAACTTGCGATAGGGCACGGCCAACAACCTCCCACCTGTCGTGGCAACCCCCGCCCGAGATCCTCACAGGCCCTGCTGTGACCTCCAAGGACCTCTCGATGAGAGTTAGTCGAACACCCGCTTATCTTGCATGGGCGAACGCCATACATGTCATGCCAACTCTCCCGGTTGATGTGGTGGGGAAGAGAGGTATCATTCGAACAGCCCACTTGTGTGGAGGCCTCGGGGCATGCTGGTTTGAGTGCGTACTTGGCTGGTGGCGGCGGCACGTAGTTCCGCTCAGCATGAAGAGCTTCCTCGATGAGGCAGGCACCCCGGGCTAACTCTTCAAGGGCCTCAAAGGTATGGTTGATGAGGTAGGCGTGGTATCTTGGGTGGCACTGTCTTCTGACCCGAGCTACTCTGTCCGACTCCGGTGTATTCGGGTCCGCCCTCTTGAAGAGCTCTTGCATGACCTGAACGTACCGGTCCTGACTTTCGTCCAAATGCTGCGGCCTTGCCTCGAGCTCTCGGAGAATCTGCGTTGCGTAGCCCACAGGCAGGAACTCTTCTCGAAGCCTTGTCTGGAAGTCCGCCAAGCTCGTGAACGGGGCCTGCAACCCCAACTAGCTTCTAGCACTGGCTTGCAACGCCAGCGGGACAATGCGGCTCATGATGAAGGCTTTCGAGGCACCGAAGGCAAGGTGGTACGTCTGCAACTTGCCCAGGAAGTCTGCCACGGACTTAACGTCGTCGTACCCCATGTAGACTGGTACAGTCAAGTGTGGTCGGGGCTCTTGCGGCGGGGTCTCCTGCTGGCCAGGCGTAAGGGCCATGCGCTGCATCACGAAGTTGCACATCTCCGTGACCTTTTGAGCAGGTTCATTTGTGCCGCTGCGGCCACTGCAGCCTCCTGCTCCCGTGTGCGCATGGCTGCAAGCACAAAAAAAAAGAAACGCCCCCCCAGAAACCAACACAAGTGTGCGAAACTATTGCCGCAGTCACAAAACGAACGGTCAAAAACAAACCAATACAACAAACACAAACATGACCGAAGCACGGGACGGTAGGAAACACAGGGAGTGGAAAAAGGCTTACCGAAAGAAGAAACCAAGCCCCGTGAAATTCCTGCGAGTGAGTAGCATACCACGCTAGGGCGCCATTGTGGCCGGTTAATTTGTGCAACATTACCACAAAGCTATAGAATGGATTCTGTGTTACCAATCCCTTGTGAGGTGCACACTGTGATGATGTGGGGGAACCAAGAATGATAAAAATGACATACATAAAAACTGTGAGTTGGACTGAGCAAAAAACGAGAAAGAAGACACAGTGAACATGGTGAAGATGTGAGTAACTAGAAGACGAAGACAGCAAGGCAAAAGCAAGAGATGGATATAATGAAAAAGGAAGACGTGATGAGAGGAAGATGACACAGGCTTGTGATACGTGAAAAAAGTGTGGGCACGACACGGAACCCGGCTCGACAGCAGTAGTCCTGGCAGCCAAGGAAGAGCCCGGACAGACGAATCCAGGCCCGTGGGGCTGTTAACCAAGCTTGCTGGGAAACATCCACTTGTGCCAAGCGAGCCTGCCAACTCCATGTCAATGCCGACGTTGTGGAGATTCCTCTGGTCTCCCTTCCCCGATGGCTGTGATAACGGCCGCGGGTCGGAACGCTCGGACTTCTTCGCCGTGAGCTCCGACCTGTTCGTGAGGCGGAGGGCCGCCTGGCTTGGGAGGCTCTCCTCTCACTCTCTCCCGGGGAAACCGATTTCCATTCCCCCGCTCAGATGCGGATCACTGCTGACAGGCGAGGAGGTTTCGCCTCTTGTTTTCCCGCTTTCGGGAAAGGGACTCGTCCGGGTGACCGCGAAAGAGATAGGACGTGTGTCGGCGACTTCTCCGATGCTTCCCCGGTCTTGGCTCTCCGGAACCCCGCGTCTGGCCAGGTAAGGACCTTTTCTTACCTTGCCGGCGCGGGGGGCATTTTGGATGGGGACATTGTAGTTCTTTTGAAAGAGTATGTTAATAAATGCTCTTGGACTCTGTCCTTACTCTGGTACGTGTGTCTTCTCTTCCGCTATATTCGAGAGAGTGAGACAAGGTAGACGATCATTGGCACCGACGGAGGTAATTGATCGAACCGACCCGCGGTAATGTAGCCCTAAACGTTGTCTGTATTGCCGCGGAGATGTGGGGACCGCGCTGCTAGGTTTGACGGCTCCTTTGAGACGCCGCCGCTGTTGAGACAATCCTTTGGTTACTCTATCGGTACCTGTGTTGGTAGCAATATCCCACAACGTGCAACACCGGGCCGTAAGCGGGTTTGCCGAACTGAACTTAGTTTATATATCTACACCGCTTTATTTCTTACTTACTTTTCTTACGACTGTAAATATCTTCCTTCTTATCTTCACCGTTCTGGAGTTCTGAGTCTCTTTATTTATATTTTTCCATCACACGCAACCTACAAGTGGCCTAAAGTGTAGATCAAAGTGTCTCAACACTGTACCTGCATACTCGTACACTGGGTCGCAGTCAATCATGCCCTCCAGCAACCGCACCACTGGCTCGTTCTGGACAGGGGGCAGGTAGGCCGCTCCGTCGGAGTCATTATCGTTGTCAAGGCGGGTGGCCATGTGCCCCGCTACTGCCCCCACAAGCACAGAAATTGCGCTCATCGGTGTGGGGGGCGGCCCCCCTCCTAAGGAACAATCGTGTATGTCAAGTCACTTGATTAAAGGAGTCGAGATATAGGCACATACTGAATATTCTAAAGAAGCACTCCTGTAAATAGACGAGGCTGGGACATTTTAGCACAATATTTTTGTGACACAGGGAACAAATGGAAAGGTAGGTTGATCAATGAGGCAATAACGCCGTAAGAGTAAACTGCAACAATGCCATATCATGCCGTTTCGCATGCAAAACAACTATTTCCCCGCTCCCTACGGAAGATATGTCGACATCTGCAGTGTGCCTCAGTACAACGGAGCTAAAGTGGATCTAAACGGGAGCGGGATATTCCACGGCACTCGAAACATTGCGCATATCACGATCTTTCTATATACTGTACTGAAGGATATGCGGAATGACACACGCTGACAAAAAGGAAGCGCGAAAAGTTTTCCAAATGTGATCTTTCGCCAATCGCAAATGCTAGAGTAGATCGATCACTCCGAGTAACATTGGTAACATGCACGAGAAGGGACAGAACACTCACCTGTCTTGTGGGTCTTGCGCTTCTCGTCCGAGCGCTCGTTCTTCCACTTTTGTTTGAGGTTCCCCCAACACTTCTTGAGCTGATTAGAGTCCCGTGGACTAACCCCCGGTAAGCAGTTATACTCATTGCAGAGTTTCTCCCAGGTCTCGTTTTTGAGGTTCGAAGATACGGAGTCTGTCTTTTTGCATTCAATGATCGTTTTATGCTTGCCGACAAGCCCCGATAGAATAGATATTTCATCAGCGGTGAAGCGCGGCGATTGTTTTTTTTTAGTGGCCATTCCACTGCTGCTCAAGGGTTGGGGGAATCTCAAAAGTTTTACCGTTTAACAGAAGAAAACTTGCACAGAAGGGAAGGCTGGAGCGTCCGGACGAGCGAAGAGCGTGCTTGGCGGCTATTTGGTATGTTGCTAGACGAAATCATCATTATGTCCAGAAAACGCGTACAATCACTAAAATAATTAAACTTCCCCTTACGATCTCTCGCGATTTATGTTTGGTAAACACATGCTATAAAGAAAATTGAGAGAAGTACCTTATTTTAAAGTCTGAAAGAACTTTTACGAGAAAAACTGCAGCCTACTCTCGCTCCCAGGTGAGGAGGGCCGCGACCGCTCGCGACTTGAACGGGACTTGACGAAGGAAGTTCGCGGGAGCGTCTGTGAAACGTAAAACGCAGCTTGGGCGTTTTCAAGTCGAACTTGGTGTTAAGGCGGACTTGAGCAAGTCGAAGTTCGGCTTCAGTTGAAGTCACATCTATGAATTCGGGGGTTAGGCTAGGTGGCGCAAGTTACCGCCCGTTATAAAGGGTATAGCAGTCTTGGGTAGTAACGCGTTACTTGTAACGCGTTACTGTAATTTTGTTACTTTTTTGTAACTTGCAACTGTAACGAGTTACTTTATAAAATTGTAACTTGTAACTGTAGTTCTATTACTTTTTTCTGAGGTAACGATGAAAGTAACGACGTTACTTTTGTCGTTACTTTCCAGTGCTTTATGAATAATATATCACTGAACGAGTGCAATTTAGCCATTCCTTGCGCTTTACAAATCGTCTATTCCGACATTTCGAGTGTCAAGTTGGCCTTGCACAGAGTTGTGAATACGTTCTTTCTCGCGAGTCACGACCCGAATATTGCCACGTGTAGATTTTATGAAAAAATATCTAGTTATCTTTACGCACGCGCTTGTACTTTGTGACTGAACACTTACACCTTAGTGTCTTGAAGCACTATCTATGTTGTGGTTTTTCTTTTTTCTGTGCAAGCGCTTTTTAATCGGGTGAATCAACTGTGAAACAACAATACACGTGGAGGACACTGCACATGTCTCGTATTTTGATTTGCGCCACAACTCTGGCACGGAAACTTTCAAACACTAACTTCGAAAAGCAACTGCTGCTAAATTACAATAGGAATTAAAAAGCGTAGTTTTTAGTTTTATGCAATAAAACGTTGTGAGGGGCGCTTTCTATTTTTTTCAAATTTTGTTTGTGTTATAGAAAAGTAACTGAAAAGTAACGTCGTTACTTTTTAAGAGTAACTGTAACTGTAACGAGTTACTCTTTTGTTGCGGTAATTGTAACGGTAACTTCACTACTTTTTTCTGAAAGTAACAGTAACTGTAACGAATTACTTTTTAAAAGTAACTTACCCAAGACTGGGGTATAGCCATTGATATCCATCCATGCGTCCATCCATTTGGCATGAAATGTGTAATTGGGTCCGAGTCCTCACGAAACGCTGACGGAGTAGTCATTTTTGACGCGAGCCGAGCCGAGTTTGGGCCGAATTCTGATGCAACGAACTCTGGTTCCCAATAGGTGCTCAGAGTACGTTCCCAAACAATGGCCAACTCGGATAACTGGCGCAGCAGCTACCAGATGGAGCGCATTTATGAAAAGGTTCTATTGCAAACGGGGTCGGCGATTTGGGTTGCATGAAACCGTCGCCTCATTGAACCACGCGAAGGGGGCGTACATTGTGGCATTCCTTGGGGGCTCAGTGTTTCCAGCATTCGTTTTGATTCAACATATTAAAAGAGCAGCGCAGAAAGGACCAGCCCAGCAAGCTTTACAGTTACACTTTCACACTTTACACTTTTTTACGGTTTACACTTTTACAGTTCTCATTCGAATTAAAGTGTGTTTCTTGGGAGGTTAATTGTTCACGCAGATTCGGCATTTTGGGGTTACCGTTTTTGTTTCCGGTAAAAAAAGAAAAAAAAAAGAAGGGCTTTTGTGGGGGATTACGTTGAAGAAAACCGGACACGTGCATGGAATTCCTCATCCTCCGGGGAACACACGTCTGCCTCGAATGCTTGGAAGACGTCCCGGTACCGAAAATAAAGGGGAGCGAGAGGTAAGGGGTGCTATTACCTAGGGAAGCAGCAGCTTTACTTATATTTCAGCATGGGCTGGGCTCTGGGTTAGCAGAAATTAAAGCTGTAAAAAGTAATAATCATGTTATGAAACTCTTTTTTTAGATTAGTTTTTGTTTGCCGGTTTGCAGTTTTCTCCCGATTTCTATTAAACCCGCAAACCTTTGCCGCGCCCCGCGTTCCGCACTACCGGAGCCTTTGAAGCATGCTTTTAAAGGGATGCTTCAACGAAATTTCAAATATATTCCTTGTGTTCAAAAATAGGTTGAATATGATCCAGAATATCCGTAAATGGCAATCGCACGTTTGTATTTTGAGCCTGGTGGCTGTCCCTGGCAAGCGCTCGGAGAAGGCCCAGCGGAGACCACGTGACATCCAACGCAATCGTGACGTAGGTCATCTCAGGACGAGCAAAGCTACGGCGAGGCAAGTCAAGAAGGTAGGAGAAGCTCCTCCCACAAGCGTGATGCGACCATTTCAAATCTCTCCACAGTCGAAAGAAGAGTTCACTGGAAACGCTCCTTGTTCCGCTTCAATGGATTTTAACTTGTCTCCGATCCCACTTTTTTAAGAAAGCGACCTTTGTATTCATTAAAGAAGGAACCAAGCCCCTGAAAGCAGCCTTTGTATCCATTGGAGGGGGAAGCTAATGCCCGAAAGTCGTTTTTGTTTCCATCGGAGGGGGGAAACTCTAATCTCCCTCTAGTGGCTTCCACAATGCCAAGTGAAAGTCGAACGATAAAGCAAATATGTACAAAAGGCAAGACCCTCCTCGCGCGTTGGCCGCGACGTCACGGAAACGACGGGACGCTATTGGATACGGAGGTGGCGTAGGGATATATGATTCCCTTTGAGGGGCATTCGCCGCTACCTTCTTAAAGGGCAACTCCGCTTCATTTTTGGTTTTGAAAAAACAATGCAGTCCTCTTCGGTATCGCCTAGGAAGACCACATGTCAAATATTACGACGCAGTTCTGTCTAAATGTTTCTTAAACGGTCCAGCAAACTTTGCAACTCGCCAAGTTGCCGAAATCGGCTGACTTGAGCGGGCGAATTCAGGCGCAACCAACAGCGCAGTCAAGGCTACGGCATGGGCGGAGCCAACATTGAGCTAAACGTCATCATCATGGCCCCCTTTTGCTTGTTTTTACTTCTCCGATCGAGTGTAGCGCATGACGTCAGCAACGTTGCCTCTCGGCGCTCAGCGGTGTCCACGTGATTGGCGTACGCGCCTGCGCAGCCCGCTTCTTGGGAGCAGACCAACCGCCCGCCGTGGTTTCGCCGTTATCGCCGTATTCCGCGTCACAACCACCGTCGTCGTCTCACCGTTTGTGATTATTGCCTCTCGGAGTATCGTCTACACTATGGACATTACGTGCGCAGAGTCGCAGACTTATGCCGCAGTTGTGCAGACGTCGTCGAATGCCGTAGACACCAAAACGTGACGAAGAGTGCGGTGCAGACGACACTCGCGCCTGCCGCACGCCCGCCCCAATCCCGCCCGTCGTTGGGCCGAGGATCACGTGACATCACGTACAACGTGATGACCATGTATTTGGCGGCCCGAGGCCAATGTTGCCAGACGGAGCCGAAGTTTCGGTTTCGATTTCCGCTCGTGTTTAAAATTAGATTTAAAAATATATATCCCATTTTTCGCGAAGCAGACGACGTAGTGTTTTTTACTCGGGCTTTTTAATTCGAAGTCACTCATTTTCCCGAAATCTTTGGAATTGAGCGGAGTTGCCCTTTAACCTGTAACCGACTATAGTCGTTCCAGTCACCTAAGGCGGCTGCTTTTGTACGAATTTTCAGTGACGGGTTAGTCTTCTGTAATCTTGTAGGGGGACAATAGCGACTTCTGCGACATACAAAAGGCATTCTCGGGAAGAGCTCCTTCCCCTCTTCTCTCGTCGTGGCCGGAGGCGAGACAACCTCCGTCACTAGCTGTCAACGTTCGTAGACGGGCATTACAAGCGAGGCGCTAGCGACATCCACCAGATGCTCTTTGCTAATCGTTTAATTCGTTTTAAAATTCTTTTTCGTGACTTTTTAACAAGATATTGGTATTTTCGATGTGATGCTGCTCCTTTGAACACATAGAGACCGAAAAATGAGCGTCGAAATTTCGTTGTAGTATCCCTTTAAAGTCAATCTTCTCGGACAAGTATTGCTTGAGAATGCTTACGCCTGGCTTTTGATTGCAGAAATACAGAATCCGGTACACCGCCCCCACCAACAACCGGAAAGAGGTACGCCAAGTTCTGAAATTGGTTTCTCAGGGGTTTGATTTCTTCAAATGAGATCAGATACGTGCAATATCAAAGTGCAACCTCTTATTTTGTCGAATTTAAGTTTCGGTATGTTCTGTCATAGTACTGTCACGATCAGTGACCTTGTGCGCGGTGCGGTATGACCAGTTTTCTACATTGATGGTCAAGTTATGAAGTGTGTATATATATACCGGGTGTTTGTGCGAAGACTTTCAAAAATCCTAAAACTTAAAGCGTAAAAAAAAAGAAAAAAACTTTCTTCGGGAACAAACTACCAGCCACGGCGGACGTCAGGAATTGCCAAAAACATAGTAATTAGCCAAATAATTAATTAAAATTTGTTAATTAACTTTTTAATTAGTGGAAATAGACATATGGTTCTAATTAGAAAGTTGCTGAGCGTTATCGAAAACCACTAAATCAGTCACTTTCAAAAAGAATTTCGGCGCGTGAGAAGCGTAGTAGTGCACTAAAGTTACCGCTCTTTGAGCAGGTACAAGGCTGGGGCTAGATAAGAGACGGAAAAATCGCGCGGGCGCCTTATCGCAACCGCTAGCTTTGTACCTGCTCAAAGAGCGGTAACTTTAGTGCACTACTACGCTTCTCACGCGCCGAAATTCTTTTTGAAAGTGACTGATTTAGTGGTTTTCGATAACGCTCAGCAACTTTCTAATTAGAACCATATGTCTATTTCCACTAATTAAAAAGTTAATTAACAAATTTTAATTAATTATTTGGCTAATTACTATGTTTTTGGCAATTCCTGACGTCCGCCGTGGCTGGTAGTTTGTTTCCGAAGAAAGTTTTTTCTTTTTTTTTACGCTTTAAGTTTTAGGATTTTTGAAAGTCTTCGCACAAACACCCGGTTTAAATATATATATATATATATATATATATATATATATATATATATATATATATGGGTGGTTTCATCTCAAATCGTGCAGGCAAAAAGGGTCGAAATTTTAATTTGCGTGAAAAAAATATATGTTATGGCGCCGTTTCTAAAAACGCAGTCGCCACAAACCGAAAGTTCGTCGGATTTTTTCTTCTCGACTTATGCATTTTTAAAGGGGCCGCGGCGAAAAGCAGTGTTTTTCGCACCCGTCGTGGGTCGGATGT